CTCTCTCTCTCGCTCTCTCCCTCGCTACATATTTCTATGTATGATACAAATACATGTGCATGCACATGTGTATATTATATATATATATATATATACATATACACACATGTATGAAGATATATGTGTAATGTAATCCAGTATTTGGCTAAGTGCGTAAACTGTGACATACAGGCAGGCAGACAGGAAAAGAGAGAGAACGAGAGAGAGCGAGCGACAGCTCTGTCATTCGCACGGAGGCTCGGGCAGCTTGACGATCAGTGTGCTTCGTGGGTATTGCCACACATTCTTCAGCCCATAAGCCAACAGCGAATATCTTCAATACCAAAACCTCACCTCCAAGCCACCGAACACAAATCTGAAAGCAAATGTACAACCACCAGTAAACTCTCCAACTGAACCCTGACCAAGGAACCCAAAAGATGCAATCTTGCCTGACATCGCCACTTAGGTAAAGTAGTCGAGATGTATCAATGACCATCATTGCAGTTTTCCCCTAAGCCTTGAACCAAAAGCCCTGAAACCCCGGACAGAGTTTCACAGCACGGGCCACACAGATCCCATAACCTTAAAGACCTCACATACAAGGGCTTAGGGTTTAAACCCTCCATAAACCCTAAACCCTAAGCCGTAAACCCAGCGTTGCTGGAGTCCTTGCCTTGTCTGCACTGAAAGCTTTGCCAGATCCATAGCGCACCTCGATCCGCATGGGGAGGAAGCCGCTGAAGGTCTCCTGAAGGGGCTCTTGTTAGCTTTACTTGGGCCTGGAGTAATTTTCTTGAAATTTGGGTTAAGGCTGTTGAACTTGGATGATGTTCATTAGACTGGCGTTTATACAGCCAGTAGTAGCAAACTTGAGAGCCTTGTCTACTTGCTTTACAATTTTCCGTTCAACTCTGCGTCGAGATCTTGCGGGATTCGTTGCAATGCTTTTTTTGGGGTTGGGGGGCCAAAGTCTTGGAACGTCTACACCGGCGTCGTCGGTATGTTCCAGGCTTTAGCTCTCACCCTCAAGCCCAAAACGGTGTCACCAAGACCCTACTTCGCGTCTGCAAACCCAATGCTCAGGGTGTTCAAACCAGCAGCCAGTGACTGACACAAGCGACTCTGCAGCTGTCAGGCTGAGATATTCGGGTTCTCGCGATTCTTGTGTATTGTGAAACAGAAGGCTCTTGCTGATATGTTCCCACTGTTCTCAGCTTTGGCTCCCTCGTCCTCTTCTTCTTCTTCAAAGAAGCCTTGCTACTCTTACATTATACCATGTGTCTGGGCTACCTGATGTGATGGCATTCGTCCGAGTTACTTCTTTAGCTGAGCTGCTGGTGCTGTTGCTCTTGCTCTGTCTGTTGTTTCTGAGACTGTTGCTGCTGTGGTTGATGACGATGATGATGTTGTTGTTGCTGCTACATCCGAAGCCCTGTGCCTGCCACGCCCCACGGCCCTCGGTGACATCACGCGTGTCCCCGATGCCGACCATATCTGCCACGAGATTGAGGAATCCGGTCCTCAAGTGCCGGGCGGAGAGTCTCGACCACTCCAAGCATCACATGTGTGGCAATGTGCTACTCAAGATACCGCTCGTAATGCCGAGCATGGCATCAGCGCAGTTCCAACACTGCCGAAGCGTCCATATACATACATACAGACCACACATACACATACATTACATCAAATTACGGTACAGTAACGCACACAAACACACACGCACACATGCCTACCTATCTACCTACCTCCCTCCCTCCCTCCCTCCCTCCCTCCCTCCCTACCTACCTACCTACCTACCTACCTACCTATACGTACATACGTACATGCGCACATACGTACATACATACATACGTACGTACATACATACATACATATACATACATATACATACATATACATACATATACATACATATACATACACATACATGCATACATACATACATTCATACATACATACATACATACATACATACATACACACATACACATTCAACACACACATTACATACGCACACACAGATGTACATACATACATAAATAGATACATAAATACATAGTTACATAGACACAATAGTAACATAGAGACAATAGACACGTAGATACATAGATACATAGCTACATAGGTACAGATAGACTTACATACATCCATGCATGCATACATACATACAGACATACTTCCTTACTTAGTTACTTAGTTGAACAGTTACTTACTTACTTACTTACTTACTTACTTATTTACTTACTTATTTACTTACTTACTTACTTACTTACTTACTTACTTACTTACTTACTTACTTACTTGCTTACTTAACTTACATACAGTACTAGATACAAAATGTACATATGTACAGGCATGCATGCATATATATTTATATATATGCTGTCTAAACCCTGCAGCCTTACCGTAGCACCCAGGTCAAATCACTTGACAGTGAGCTCCAGCCCATGGTCCAAAGCTTGAGGAGCAAAAACACAAAAAAACATCACACTACGGAAGCCTGATTGGTTAAAACAATGCTTTGGGGGTACCGGGTAAGCATGTTGGGCAAACTTAAGGAGTGCGAATACACAGTGCGCAGGCACCTATAATACCTGGGGAGCTCTGTATGCTGACATCAGAAGCTTCCAGGTTCAGAACAGGGTCCCTCAGCTGTCGCCCTCTACGTGTATGCAGGGTTCCAGAGAAGTCGCGTTGCTACACGATTTGGTTTGAGAGTCTTCGGATTTAGGGCTTCAGCATTTTGGACTGGGGGCTTGCAAACTTCGGAAACCCTGAATAAGCTCCTAAAGCTTAAACCCGCCAACAAATTTCCGTAAGCCGGCAGGGGATCATAGATGATAGCCAGGATTAGGGCCCAAGGTTCCATCAACTGCAATGCTGGTGTTTTGCCTGCAGACTATCGGCCATAGACCCGGGAGCCCATCTGGACACGACCCAGCATATCATGTCGCATGTAAGGACCTCCCGAAAACTGCAACCGTCAATGTGCCCATCCACAGCCAAACAAAAGCGCTCCACTGTGTCAGGGTAGTGCCTCAAGAGGCTTGGAAGCTTAACCCTCCAAGAGAATACCAAAATTCGACACCCTCAACTCCGAGCCCAACGCGTTCAACCGTCGGCCCTGAACGAAAATCTTTTCAAAACCACACTCTCGATCTCTTCATGCTCATCGTTCTCACGTTGTTCCTACATCTTCCAAAAACCCTGAAAGTCTCAAGTCCAACATCCTAAATGCAGATCATGGCGAGCTGAGGGTCTGGCGTGCGCGCGCACGCGTGTATGTCTAAGGTCTCGGCAAGAATCCTACGCCCTGGAAACCACGGCTGGGAACAAACCCCCGAATCAACGCTCGACGAGCCACCCTAAGACGACTAATTACGCTCCAAACTGAACCCTAATCCCCAACCCTAAGATGCTAAACCCCGAACAAACCACGGAAAAGCTTACCCCACCCCCGACCATTTCCGAAACCCTAAAGCCCAAATCCCCATTCCTCGAAGCGGCCAGTTCGATGCTTTCGCAAAGCCGGACTGGGCACGCGAGTGGCATCTCCATACGCGCGTGAGAGCATTCTGCCTTAGAGGACAGGGCTGAAGGAGTACGGTTTAGCCCTGTTTAGGGTTCGCGGGAAAGGTGAGCACAACCATGAGCCGCCAAGATGCTCCAATGACGACTCACGACGCACGGTTAATCAACACTGTGCCAGTTTCCGATTAGGATGCTCATAGCACTAATCCTGCTGCTGCTGAAGGTGATGTTAATGATGACGATGATACCGATGATGTTGATGACAATGATGATGGTGATGATGCTGGTGCTGATGCTGATGATGATCGTGGTGGTGGCGGTGGTGGTGGTGACGGTGGCCATGATGGTGATCATGAAGGTGATGATGGTGACTCTGGTGAAGATGAAGATGATACTGCTCATGCTCACGTTTATGCTGACGCCGAGGCTTCTCTGCTGCAGATGCTGGTGCTGGTTATGATGCTGCTGCTGCTGCTTCTGCTGGTGCTGAGGTGAATGCTGATGGTCATGCTCGTGCTCAAGTGATGACGCCTAATGAGGGCAGAAATTATGGTCAAGACGAAGATGATAGCCACCTCCGCCAATATGGTACCGCAAGCGGCGTGATACAGCATGATGATGAGTGATTTCGAATATAAGTTACACCGGTAGTGTCACAAGCAATGAACTTACAGTGGCAGTACCAAACAACCAACACGACTCATCGGGTTATCCTATAATCGGCATAAAGCCAAGCGGAGCACCAAATCCTGCGCCACTGCCCCAGCCTTCCTCACCCTTCTACCGAAGATTGCGGAGATAGCCACGAGATATGAAATGTTTTCATACCGCGAGACCAGAAGGACTAGAAATCAGCAATAATCACGATGGTAAGTTTTGGGCACTCGTCATCCTGACCATAACCAGCTTCATAGAAAAAACAATTCCTCTTGCAGCACGGACACGTCGACTCTAGATGTGCCCAGTAGCCATCTCTGGTGAAGTACTGCACCTGAGTTGGAGTGCGAGTGATAGGGCTTGGGAAGAGTATTCGGACGTGGTCGCAGTTTAGGCTTTTAGGGCTTTAGGATTTAAAGTTCGGATTTTTGTGAGGATTCGGGCTTGGGTTTAGGATTTTGGGTTGAAACTTAAGGGTTGCAAGGGATCGTCGTCTATAGCATCAGGGGTGTGCGGCGTACAGGGATCAAGGATCCTAGCAGCCAGGCTCTGTGTTAGGGGTTTGGAAATTCCTACGAAGGACTCTAGGCTTGTTGGTGCAGGGGTTAAGACCTGGTGTTGGTGGTCTGAGTTAAGGCCTTTGAATTGGCGCTTCAACAAGCCCTGCCGGTTGTCAGCTCGGAAATTTTAGGCCGTGCTGGCTTGAGGATTGGAACCTAGGTCTTGCCTTTCCAAATTGGAAGCTTGAGCGCTCTGCAGTGCTCATTGTTGAATTATGCTGACTCGACTTGATCAGGCATGCAGTCCTGGCAGCACTGAGCCCCCCAATGTCCAATCCCCAAAGCCAGAAACTCGAAGAATCCTATAAGCCAGACCCTTCAGCCGCTCCCCCTGTTTCAGACGTGCGCCGTTATCCCAAGATTTGGGGTCTCGGCACATCTTGTGCTCTACTTTACTCCAGTCATAGTAGGGGGCCCGGACCAACCCTGTTCTTTGGGTTCACAATTTGAACTCTAAAGCAATCCCAACCCCCCAAAACCCTTCAGTAGCTCCAACTGACTTATTCTATTGTAGTCCATGATATTCAACTGTATTTCATCCAATTATGTTATTTTTTCTGTTAAAGTATATATTCATTTAGTCTGTCATATTCAGGAAACTTCGTTTATGATACACTATACATGACATCATGTTATATTGTATCAATGCTACATTATGTTCTATTCTATTCTGCTAGAGACTTCTAAGAGTGTGTCATACTACATGTGAATTCAATTTTGTTATATTGTGCTGCCTTGTTGTTGTAGCTGTTATTGTTGTGTCTACTCGTATTAGTTCTACCATTCCTATCGTTATTGGTAGTCGTACTACTAGTACTATTTCCATGTTTTATCTTTACCACTACTATTACTGCATTTTCAATATGAGTAATCTCATTAAGTAATGTACATATATACATGTATATGTATAGCGCTTAGGTTCAACATGCTGTATTTCCAGTAGTAGCAGACCCTCTTGGAACAGAAGATTTGGGGCTTATGGGATCTATGAAAGATCCATGCGACGGCTAAGATCTGCAGGACATCGTGCGCGCCATCCCTGCCGTGACTCTTTTTGGAAACCTTGAACCTAGTGTTCACGGCGGCTAACGTCAGCATGAGTCGAAACTACGTTAACCCGCGCACCCATGCCAAAGGCACTCGCACGAGAGCTTTGGGATTGAGTTGCAGAGCGAACGAAGCCATTTGGTCCAGCAAATACCTTGACAACTGGTTATGGCACGAGCCGGTTTGGCTGCAACAGAACAAAACAGCAGTTGTCTCAATTCGGTACCCCTAGTTGGGGATTTACTTGTCTACTTCTGGTGCATGGCATGCTAGCGCCATCGCTCAAGCCCAACATGCTCTTGTGTAAACCAATGAAAGGATCAGGCGGTTACCAAAGCCCTTGCTCAGGCCTAAAGTAGAGAATTCATCCTACGATGGCTGCCCAGCCTGGCTAGGGCTTCGGGGTCTTCGGGCTGTGAGCTTTGGCGTTATGGTTTTTATGGCTCGGAAATTTTCGCGGCCAGCCGGAGGCCCACTCGAAGAGCCATTGGCCACACCATCTGCGAAAAACATACGAAAAAGGACAGACAAGAACCACTAGCGACCCCAGAAGCATTGTCAAATCCTATCCCCTACCATAACATAGTTTTTTGTCGGGTCCCTATGTTTTGTTGAAAGGTAGATCGAAAAGCATAATAAGCTCCCTCCCTGCAATACCCCTTCGTGTCGGATTTAGGGTCGGATTTCGAGTTTTGGAGGGTTTAAGGGTTAGGCTCTAGGGTTTAATGGGTTTGAAGGGCTAGCAATCCCAAAGCCTGGAACCTTGAAGTCTCCCTGTGCAACCCCATAAACCCCCTGCCGAACCCCTTTAAACCCCCCCGTCCCCCCCCCCCCCCAACCTAAACCCTAAACCCTCGCCCCTAAGCCCTACACCCTAAACCCCAAACCCTAAACCCTCCCAACCCCTTTCAGCCGGGGGTGCCAGGTGAACTCTCCAGGCCTGGGTTGCTCCTGGGCTCTTCAGACTAGGCCCAGGCCCTTAAGGGTCCCTTTAGGAAGTGTATCTTTCAACAGCGCCATCAACAAAAAGTCACCTCACCTTGGGGGCAGACTCTCCCATACTCTCCAACACGCTAGCTTTGCAACGCACCCGGGACAAAAGCAGTTTAGGGTCCAGGCGCTGCAGATTTAGGGGTTTCGGAGTGCAGTGTAAGGCTTTGTGGTCTCGGTTTAAGAGCAGCTCAGGGTTCAAATTGACCCGGACCTTGAACTGAGTGTTCTGGAGTTCGGGGGTGGAGTCTGTCACATGGGGTCTCGGGGCAGACTGTACGATGATTGCATAATCAGCGACAAAAACGACGTATTAGACCACATCTCGACAAGGACAAACACGGCATGGCAGTACCCAGTCTCGAGAAATTATCCTGTATGAAAGCTTGAAGCCACAGCAACATACTCCAGAACTTTACAGCTAGCAAGTTAATACGCCCCAGTCATGACCAGTCTATATCCCAAATCCCTATCTGACCCCCGAACCCCGATGCGAAGCGTGAAGAATGGACAACGCATCAGGTAACTCCATGGTCCTTTCAGGATAGGCCCCTCGACTTCAATCACGAAGCCCACAGCCAAACGAGCACTTACCTTCCCAACGCCCGCTTGAAAGCAAAACAGCCCCAAAGCCTGAAATCCTGAGGCTCAAATTCGAGTTCCCTAAACTTCGTGAGCACCCTTCCTTACCAAACCGAGCCTAGCCCTCAGCCTCTGAACAGCGTTGAATGGATGCTCCAGAAAGACCATGAGGGTCTTTCCCAAGTCTCCCACAGCTAGTCCGATTCCCCCCCCCACAAACAGCCCTTCAACCCGAATTCCGACACCCCTAAACCCTAAACCCTAATCCCTACACCCTCGAATCCACACCCTGGAGGCCTCAGGGAAAGGACGCACCACCTCTGGCAGAGCTTGAATCTCTGCGGCCAGCTCGTCCTTAACACCTTCGTCTGGGTTTAATGGGTTGGGGCTTTCGCCGAGAAGCTTCTTCTTCGTAGGCTCGGCTTTTACATAGCGTTGAGGGTTTAGGCATTGAAGGTTTAGTGTCTGGCGTTCTGTGAATAGTTGGCTTAGTTTGAAGAGTTCAAGGCTTTCCCCATTCAGGGGTAAAGGGTGCAATGGGGGCTGAGAGTTTACGTAAAGGTCCCGGGTGTGGGATGAAAGGTTAGTCGTGGTCTTAGGCTATAATGCGGCAGGAGGGGCCGAAGGCTGTCAGCCGATGGCCCGCTCGGAGGCCGTCCGGGTGCATCTTGTTCTTTTTCGGTTCCGCGACCTTTCGGAGCTGCGTGAAAAGTTCTCGGGTCGTGCCGGGTTTTGTGAGTTTGCAAGAAAGGACATGTCTTGCCGGATTAGGAGAGGTTGCGCAACAGCTTCGGAGGGATCAACGCGGATCAAAGATGGCTTGTCCGGTCTTACGGTCCTCGAGGCTAGATTGGCTGGGTGCATGTGTTAGAAAGGTCTTCCAGCACTTCATCTTGACAAAAGCTGAGCTGGATCGTCATAAAGCTCCGAGCACATTCAGATATGCAGAACATCCATAGTATCCTCACATGTATGTATCTAAATGAACAAAGGGTAAATACATGCATATGTATATATATATACACATATATATACACACCCGTATCTATATAAGCATCTACCTATATCTCTATATATATACACATATGTATGTACGTATGTATGTATGTATGTATGTATGTAGGCAGGTAGGTAGGTAGGTAGGTAGGTAGGTAAGTAGGTAGGTAGGTAGCTATGTATGTACGTATGGTATAGATGTATGTATAGATGTCTAGATGTACACAAATATGTACATGTATATATATATATATGTCTCTGTGTGTGTGTGTATGTATGTCTGTATGTATGTATGCATGCATGCATTGATGTCTGTCTGTCTCTGTCTGTCTCTGTCTGCCTCTGTCTGCCTCTCTCTGCCTTTGTCAGCCTCTGTCTGTCTGTCTGCCTGTCTGCCGGTCTGTCTGTTGCCTGTCTTCCTGTCTGCCTGCCTGCCTGGCTGGCTGTCTGTCTGTCTGTCTGTCTGTCTGTCGGTCGCGTCGGGTCGGGTCGGGTCGGGTTCTCTGTCTGTTTGTGTCTGTCTGTGTCTGTCTGTGTCCGTTTGTGTCTGTCTGTGTCTGTCTGTGTCTGTCCGTCTCTCTGTCTGTGTCTCTGTCTGTGTCTCTGTCTGTGTCTCTGTCTGTGTCCCTGTCTGTGTCTCTGTCTGTGTCTCTGTCTGTGTCTCTGTCTGTGTCTCTGTCTGTGTCTCTGTCTGTGTCTCTGTCTGTGTCTCTGTCCGTCTGTGTCTGTCTGTGTCTGTCTCGTCTGTCTGGTCTGTCTGTTCTGTCTGTCTGTCTGTCTGTGTCTGTCTGTCTGTCTGTCTGTCTGTCTGTCTGTCTGTCTTGTCTGGTCCTGTCTTGTCTTGTCTGGTCTGGTCTGGTCTGGTCTGGTCCTGGTCTGGTCTGGTCTTGTCTTGTCTTGTCTTGTCTTGTCTAGTCTAGTCTAGTCTAGTCTAGTCTAGTCTAGTCTAGTCTAGTCTAGTCTAGTCCTGTCTGTCTGGTCTGTCTGTCTGTCGGTCTGTCGGTCTGTCGGTCTGTCGGTCTGGTGGTCTGGTCTGGTCTGGTCTGGTGTGTCTGTGCGTATGTATGTATGTATGTATGTATGTATGTATGAATGCATGTACGTCCCGAACTGCCGGCAACAGCGCCGGAAAATCGTTGAGCCCCAGTTCCACCTGAAATCGCTTTCGGGTATCGTGGAACGCCATGGCAGCTGATTCTGCCTTCGGTCGGTGGCAATCACACCGTGAACGCTTGAACTCTGAGGACGGTCTGACTGGTTTGACTCAGGACTTGGTGAGTTGTGCGATCCTGGAGGTTTATGATGGTGTTGCGGTGTCGCTGAAGGCACTGCATGTGTCCCTCGAGGAGCGGATGAGTCAAGCTGGGTTCTCGGAAGCCTGCAGTCCGGAGGATCGCCGAAAAGGCTGTTCGGGAAATCAAATGGCCTGCAGCTTTGGATGCCCTAGATCGGGTAGATGTCTTTTCTCAGGCCTCAGTGACCTGCCTCACGATCGCAGCTTATTCACGGCGGGGGAGGTCTGGAGGGTGAGTGGCAGAGACTTCCGGCGATGCTGATGTTCATGAAGCCCCCGAGGCGTGGCTTGTATATGGCAGCCGTGGACAATGTTGGCGATTCAACAGACATGAACCAGGAAAAGGCAAACACCTCCGAAGACCAGACCGCTTGACCTTTGCAGGCGAGCGGCGAGAGGCCAGCAAGGCGTTTGACTTCGTGAATGGCACGGTCAAGGATGATGGCACGGCCCACAGTCTCCGAGAGCTTAGGTTCATCGTGTGCAACGTGCCTTGCTACGCAACTTTCCTGGCCGGCGAGGGCGTCTTGAACGCCCTCAGCTCAGCCATTTGGGGTTGTGTCAGTGCTGAGTTTGGTGCTGTGTGGGATCCCGGTGGCAAGCTGGTGAATGGTATGACCGGAGTGACGCGGGCTTGGCTGCTTTCGTGGTACCTGATTGGTGCCACTTGCAGCTGCGACGATGCAGTTGCGGTTGAGTTCGTGTGCTCGCCCCTTTATACTTTCGTGGTAGTTCCGGCTCCAATTCCCGAGTGCACACTGCTTTGCTACGTTGTCTAGACTTCTGCTCGAGACGCGCAGCTATGGTGTGCAGATGCTACAGCTGTGCGTTGGCGCTTGTCGCACAAGCTTTTCCTGCGTGTGGCGCGTGTTTCGAACTGAAGAGGGCTTTCAGAAGATCGCTGCGGTCCGTCAGGAAGGGGCCACCGCCTCATTCAGGTAGCATGCGTCCGAGTGCATACCGCGTGTATGGATTGTGGTTTTCTGCTCCGGACTTCTGAACTTTAATTAGGTGCAACCCACCCTTGAATTCAATAGTGTTTTTTTGCATTAGACACGCCCTTTGGACGTTCAGCCTGCCCGAAAGAAAAACTGTATGCATGCATGTATGTATGCAGGCACGTATGGATGGATGGATGGATGGGTGGGTGGATACATAAACAGTTTTTGTACATACATATACATACACCTACATACACATACATACACACATACATACATACACATCCCGAGTGTGCCCGCATTAAAGTTTTGGTCCCTGCACCTTTAGCCCAGGAAAGGATGCCGGAGCGCCGTTCGATTGTGGTGGCTGGAAGTTCAGTTCTACGAGGCGGCTGTTTCCGAAACAAATTAAGCCGTTCCCTCTCCTAGTCAAAGAACCTTCTTTCAGGGTTGAGGGCACATCATGGAGGGTGTAGGCTCAGGACCCAGGGTACGTTTAAAGATCACGTGTCGAGATCAGAGTTCCAAACTTAAACCGTAAAGCCCGACCCCAGGCAGCTTGCAGTCGTTGATTGATGCCTTGGTGCCGAATGCTTGGCAATCGTTTGCCGGAGTGCCGAGCATACCAGGCGAAGGTACGACGGTCAAGTGCTGGGGCTGGCTTGAGCCCCTTTGAGAAAGATTGGTAATGGCCCATTGGGCGGGTGGGGTGGATCTCTATATAGTCGAGATCCCAAAAGGGATCCTAGTTGAGAGCGCAAGCCATATGGAGGTTGCCTAGGTAGAACATGGTAGCACAGGGGGTAAGTTGACTGCGATGGTATGTTTTGGATGCACAAGTCCTCCTCTGTTGCATATTCAACTGTCCTCGGCCTACACACACCCCCTTGAAGGAGGCGAACGTCAATCATATTACAACAACAGCAACAACTGGAGTTGCTCGTTCGGCGGCGTCGGAATTTTGCAATGCCAGGGTAGGTGTGTGGAGACTGGAGACTGCTGAGTGCCAATTCTGACAGTGGTAAAGACACAACACCAAGAACTACACAAACAGATGTAATATGGTCCTCGTCCTTTTGGTGAAGCACAAACAGTTGTAGAATTATGGTCGAGGTACCAGGTGGATAACCTGCATTTGGGATTTCTCGATTGGCGGCTGCCGAGCTATGGGAACCTGAGCTGAACTTCATCTCGGTTTGAGGGCCCTGTGGCATCGCAGGAGTCCCGCGCCCGGTCACAACATGTCCTCGCCGTGGAAGTCCAAGTCTCAATACAGAAGTCTTGTACATGTTATATATATATGTAACATATACATATTGATATTATTTATATACATACATATACATATGTGTATATATATATATTCACATATATATATATGATAGCTGATAGCCTTTGGCAGACAGACGAAGATAAACACGCTGATATAGTTCGAGTCCGTCAAACCTCACAACCCCTCAACCCCAAGCACGAAAACAGGGGACGCGGTTTAAACGTTGCAGACGTGATTTTTTTGCAGCTCCACTCAACCGTCCACCTGGCATTTGCTAAAACCGCTTTGTCCCCCAAGGAGGAGCGACAAGGTGAGCGCTGCTGCTCGTATCCGGAAGACGATGCTTGAGGATAAGCGGCTTCGTTCCCTTAGGTTACCAGGAGTTGCTTAGGATTTCTCGGCGTGGAGATATGTGGAGATATTTCTTTATCGGTTTGCAGCGGCTCCGGGGGTGGACTTCTTCAGTGTTTGCACGGTTTGAGACCCGTTGTCGGATTAGGGGGAACCTCGTAGTTTTACTATCCTAGGACAATGGAAATTGGCGTGTGCGGTTTAGGACTGTTCTTGTCGAGAGTTCTGGAGGAGAGGCCGGACATCTTTGTCATCGAGCTGGGGTGGAACTTCAAGGACCACATGCGGCAACTGGACTCAGAGTTGGCGCTCTTCTGGGGGCCTCTCTTCAAAGCTGTGCTCCCCAGCTTCCATGGAAAAGTAGTACTTTGCCTGGGGCCCGTGAGCCCTTTCAATGCTCGGATTTGTGAAGCAGAGTGTGGCATCAGTCGTGCCCGCGCGCGAAGTGCGAGAAGCTCCGTAGCTAAGCTCTTGGCTTCATGGCCCAGCGACATTCGGAATGCATCCCGGGGCAAGATTGTGATGCTTGATCCGGCTTTCATGGCGCTTCCGATGTTCTTCGATGGAGAGACAGATATGGTTCGCAAGACCTCATCGCAACATTGGCATCGTTATGATCGGAAGCAGTCGCCAGGTCGGAAAGTGTTTGGCGTTGTTGCAGAAACTCTTGGCCAGATCTTTCTCTCAGAGCTCCTGAAGCTTGGCAATCCAGAGCATCCCTCCTTTGAATGATTGAATTCTAAAAACAAAAGAAGCAACACAGACGCTTTGTTCGCAGTTAACGTCGGGTTCATGTGGGCTACGCTTACCTTTCGGACCCCAAACCGCAACTCAGGCGTGTCACCGAGCTGAGGGCCGGAGCACCTGGTAAAGAGGTGACCCACACCCGGGCTTGCGCACAATGCCCGGTGAGAAGCTGCTGTCCCTGGCGGCCGATCCCACTGCATCTTGAGCACACACTCAGGAATGTGAGAGACCTGACAAACTTCACGTCCTGGTCCAACTTGACGATGGAGAGCTGCGGGCAAATGGAGGTAAACATGGCAGTGAGAGACGTAGTGTGTGAAGTGCAGGCGAGCATCGGGACCCATGCTCCCCTTCACGCCTCGGCATGATCATTGCACCAGCAGGTAGTTTTGAGAGCATCTGACCCCGCCCACGTTAAGGCTTCTCCACGTAGGAACTATGGAGGACATGCCACGAGTTGGGGGGTTGCAGATGCTCCCGGCACATAGCCTTAAGAAGCCTGAGCGGTTTGTCGCTCCATCACAGGGCTTCAAACCTGCGAGCCACTGACCCTGCCCTGAAACACAACATCGACTTCAGGAGAGCCCCAAGGACACGCTACAAAAGCTGACTGACACCCCCTGCCCCAGCCGGGCGAAGCGCAAAATAAACAAGCCTAAAAGCCTCAGCCCTAATCTCCAAGCCTGTTTCCCCAAAGCGAAACCATGTCCCGTTCTGGGCGAGCCGGGCTCGCGTCCTTGATTGCGGCGCTGGGGCTGGCGCAGGCTTTGGGAGTTTCACAGCTCCCTGGGTTCATATACGACAAGGTTTACTGAGTCTAGCAATAGGAAAGAGATCAAGTGCAGGTGTCTTCGAAACATACTACAGTCAAACCCAGCAGTTGGAACTACACAAGTGCTACATTACAGTGATCTTGATGAGGAGGAAGGATGTTTATCATCCTGTGATTGGTGGCACATGACTTCTACGCACACTTCCCAGTTCTATGATTTTGAGAGGCATTGTCCGCAGGGATGGCTCCACTGTTTTCACCATAACACCATCATAGAACACCGGATGCGTCAAATGCACTCTCAGCGAACGACCAGTCACCAGGCCCAGGTGCTGGAAGAATCTGTTCACCTGAAATTTGAGAGGAGATATAGACGTTAGCCTTCCCTGGATTTGGGCCTGGATGTCTCTTCCACAGCTCGCTGATCTTCAATGCCAACTCTCGGCTGTTTTGGTGTGGCCTGAATGTACGCTCTAGACTGTAATCCCAAACCAACTCCGGCTGATGAGCGCCGACGCTATGAGCCTTGCCGTCAATGGGCTTCTTCGTCGATTCGTGTGTTGCTCGTTCTTTGTTCGTCATGCTTTTTGCAGGAGGGGTGTAGCTGAAAGGGGCTCCGGACTCAGCAAGATCATGTAGAGTTCGCAAGAGACCGAGAAGATGTGGCACAGCTCGACAGACACTTGCCCTTGACGACCCTGTCACACGGATACCCAGATGCACACAACCATTCACCAGGCATAGTGAAATCCTAAACCCATCCGTCGAACATTCGATAAAGAATCCTGAGGGCAACCAAGGTGAACTTCTCAAGACCCTCTCCGGACAATCTGTAGGAGCACCCACAACCCGCAGCTAGACTGTTGAATTGTTGAATTGTCCTGTTGTTTCTTACAACATCCATTGGCTTCAATAAGTTCTGAAGCAACAGCTCCCCAGAGGTGCTTTGCGCCGATTTCGTGCTGGGAATGTCCCGACAGCCGCTTCGAAGGCAGGATTGGATGAATGAATCGCATGGGGTCTGGATTTTCAGGTTCTGGATGCAACACCCTATCATGATTTGAGCAGCCGGGTCGAAAACACCGGAACGGAACGCACAAAGCAGACTGGGCCTGTACTGAGAGTCATCGGCTAGTTGTGCTTGTGCTAGTATCACACACATGCTTCCGAACGTGGCAATTATCACCATGATTTTGCACACTTGCCATCCTTCCTGTGTGTAGGCATAGCTGCCTTGCCGGCAGGGCGACACCAGGCCGGGTGTGCCGCTGCAAGATCATTTGTCTTTCAAGGGTTCGGAGCCTTCCAGTAAAGCGCAAGCTTTTCATTTTTTTGGCTTGTAGCATGTGGTGCCTTCAGGGCCTATTCAACTTCAAGTGCCTGCTTCTCTGCTTCGGGGACCCCTTGCCGTTGACTTGAGGATTGAGTGTCCGGGTCCGGGAATACTCCCTGAACCCCATAAACTTAAGACCTATACCGCCTATACCTATACCCTGTTTTGTGGGATGCAGCGGGGGCTAGAGAGTTGATGCTTGATTCCTCCTTCTTCCCGAGTTAGGATGTGTTTAACTATCCCTCGCAGCAATTACTTTCACTCGCATCCTGCTGCGTTCGGGGAGGAAGGGACCAACGAGCCGCTAAGAGTAACTTATACCCTAGTTTATATCATACTGGGTCGGCATTTCTTGCTGGTGTGAATGAAATCCGTGAGTTTCACTACGGGTTCGTCGCCATATGTGGTGTATCCTAGCCTTTGCATGTTATCACTGTTTTCCGGGTCACTTTCAGGGTGACGCGACCTGCAACAGGGCTCGAGATGAGCCTCAGATCCCTGACCTGGCCCTTTTGATCTGAGCTTCTATGGTTAGTGGCTTTGGAGGGACTTCGGGAGTTGTCCGACTTTTGAGTGCCGACTTGGGGCCACATGCGCCTCCTCTGCAAACCATGGACCAACCTCGCCTGCATTGCCCGCGTTGCGAGAGTCTAAACCCCCTGCCTCTGAGATTTCAGCATGCGATGTTGGCCATTTCGAGCATGAAGGACCGATGCCAGGTCGAGGTCTCCAAAAAACCAGGGGCGCGCTGATGCCCAAATTCTTGGGTTTTGCTGGCTACTGCTGGGATCCGCTGGGATTGATCATGATTTTTAGGGCTTAGGGTTAAGATTTGCGTTTTCGTTACGTGTCTTGCTTGTTCACAGAACGGCATGATGCTTCCAGGCGTGAGCTCGGCAAGATTGTGAAAGAAAGGGTTTAAGGTTTTTTCCGTTTCTTTGATAAAGCTGCGACAGTGGGAGCCTCATTACAAGCCAGAGACTGCAAATTAAATCAGGGGCTCGTCTTCCGGGTCTTAATTCATGATTCCCAGTCGAGTACAGAATCAGGGACATATTCCCTTGTTAGTAAGAATCCCTGCTACCATTTCAGAAAATTCTTAAGGATCGTTGCATGTAGCTGCTACAGTTAAAGGAGTATGCTCTTATGTGTTGAGTCGACGGGAAGCCTCGCTCAGCGCAGGGGAGAGAGCTGCACAGATGGCGAAGAAGGCGAAGGACCTGCCGCCGCCGAAGCGTGGGATCCTTTTAGAGGATGATTCGTGGCAGCACCGGTCTACAAAACGAGCGTTGAAGTTGCACTACACTTTTCTCAGATACCAGTCAAGATTGATGCGCGACCAAGTGCTCGCTTCCTGTTTGACTAGTGCCTTGCAGACTAGTCGGTAGTACTAGGTTGCGCTGGTGAGTGGGCTGATACATGGTTTTCGGCTGTCACCCACGGAGTCCACATGCCAAACAAGTGGCTTAAATTGAGACAGCTGACACGGTCGGGCACTAGATTTTGCGTCAGAGAGTATACGATGTGAGGATTGCAGGGTGTGAAACCCCAAATTGCGTAGCCTGTTCTTCGGCCATGTAGTCGCCTGTCATCGTGAGGTCAACCTGCGCTATTCCCGCAGCAGTGGTCCAGGAGGGCAGAACGTGAACAAGGCACGGTAGATGACACACTTATGCACCTGAAACTAAAGAACCAGAGTCCCTAAACGAGTGAGTGCCGAGTTCGGGGCTTTGATTTAAGGCAGGGTTCATGCCTTGGGTGTTACGGTGTATAGAGCTCAGGGAGGTAAAGCTCTATGTGCTACGATCTACGGGATAATCCTGACTAAAGGGGATTTTGGATGGCCTACTGCAGCTGGAGACATGTAGCTGGAGCACCAAGGCTCAGTCATCAGGAAGGCCAACTTCAGAAGGATTATACTTCTGGCACAGACCCACGATCTTCGCCGTGTAGAGGGCCGACTACTTAGGAATAACATCCCCTTGCAGTCCCTGTAAGATAACTATGTGCAAGAACATGTTAGGGTTTAGGGTTTAGGGTTGCCCAAGTCCAGTTCCTCAGGCCCCGATAGCAGTCTGAGTCTCTCTCAGTTCGCCGGAATGATTTGTGGATCGGCTGGCAGGTGGAAACACGCGTGCAAGCGAGCCCGGTGCCTAGTTGCGGTGGCGCGAAAGTTTCGACCTGTAGGTAGGGCTTCGGGCGTTTAAGACTTGTTCATGACGTTTATATATAGAGCTTGGTTTTGGGGGTAACAGGGCTGATTTACTGGCTGGGTTGGTTTCGTGTTGGGGGTTACACATCGACTACTCCGACAAAAGAAGATGGAATGCGGGAGGATTCTGATTCGGAGAAGAGCAACGGAGTGTCAGACATCCAAAAATCTGAATCTCTTGGCTTGGCAACCCAAGTCCTTTGTGTTCTGGTTTCTATTAAGACCCACATCTTGCAAGCTTGCATCCTGAACCCGAAAAGTGCGCCTAATCCCGCAGACACCAGAATCTCAACTTTAAGCGCCCAACAGGCCCTAAAACCTTTACCGGCAATAACACAACTTGTAACCCCAGAGCCTTAAACCCTATTGCTAAAACCCCAAACCCTTTGTCGCAACAATGAAGCCGAGGCTTCGACGTAGATGCTGCCAACTTCCTCCCCAAATGGGTCAAGGAGAACTTGAGAAAGCAAGAGGCCAGAGTAAACGGGGGATGACTATTGCCATGGGGGGCTGGGAGGTGGGGTGCAGATTTTTTGGATTGCCCTTTCAAGCTTAAAAGGGCGAGGGCTTCGAAGCGGCTTTTGGTTGTTCTTCAGACCATTGTCTGCAGTCTTCGTCTTATCATTCTCTCAACCCTGAAGCGCAGGAAGAGGCCCTAAACAAGCTAAGAGGTCCGAACACGTCTAAATTCAAGGAAAACGTCTCTTGCGACTGTCATGTTGGAGGGTTCTTCTGAGAGCCTCGAATCTGTCGGAGAGTTCGGGCTTTGGGGGGTTTGCAGGGTTTAAGGTTATAAGTGCTTCGAGGCTAGAGTGTAGGGTTCAGGGTTTAGTGCTGCGGGGGGTTCGGTGTGTTGCTGATGTGTCTGTTTTGAGCACCTTCGATCCGTCATGATGCAATCTCCAAGTCTTGCTGGCTCTGCCTCCCCTTTCCCCAAGAAGCGTCTGTGGAGTTGGGGCCACATTTAGGCTGCGCTAAGCTGTAAAGACCTGACTCGAAACCTTCTGTTGCGTCACGTTGAGCAGAGGCTGCACGCTTCAACAAAGACGGC